ATAGCCCCACTCCACAAAGGGGGCAGTAAAGCAACAGCAAAGAACTACAGACCAATAGCACTAACATCCCATATCATAAAAATCTTTGAAAGGGTCCTAAGAAGCAAGATCACCACTCATCTAGAAACCCATCAGTTACACAACCCAGGGCAACATGGGTTTAGAACAGGTCGCTCCTGTCTGTCTCAACTATTGGATCACTACGACAAGGTCCTAGATGCACTAGAAGACAAAAAGAATGCAGATGTAATATATACAGACTTTGCGAAAGCCTTCGACAAGTGTGACCATGGCATAATAGCGCACAAAATGCGTGCTAAAGGAATAACAGGAAAAGTCGGCCGATGGATCTATAATTTCCTCACTAACAGAACACAGAGAGTAGTCGTCAACAGAGTAAAGTCCGAGGCAGCTACGGTGAAAAGCTCTGTTCCACAAGGCACAGTACTCGCTCCCATCTTGTTCCTCATCCTCATATCCGACATAGACAAGGATGTCAGCCACAGCACCGTGTCTTCCTTTGCAGATGACACCCGAATCTGCATGACAGTGTCTTCCATTGCAGACACTGCAAGGCTCCAGGCGGACATCAACCAAATCTTTAAGTGGGCTGCAGAAAACAATATGAAGTTCAACGATGAGAAATTTCAATTACTCAGATATGGTAAACACGAGGAAATTAAATCTTCATCAGAGTACAAAACAAATTCTGGCCACAAAATAGAGCGAAAAACCAATGTCAAAGACCTGGGAGTGATCATGTCGGAGGATCTCACCTTCAAGGACCATAACATTGTATCAATCGCATCTGCTAGAAAAATGACAGGATGGATAATGAGAACCTTCAAAATTAGGGAGGCCAAGCCCATGATGACACTCTTCAGGTCACTTGTTCTATCTAGGCTGGAATATTGCTGCACACTAACAGCACCTTTCAAGGCAGGTGAAATTGCTGACCTAGAAAATGTACAGAGAACCTTCACGGCACGCATAACGGAGATAAAACACCTCAATTACTGGGAGCGCTTGAGGTTCCTAAACCTGTATTCCCTGGAACGCAGGTGGGAGAGATACATGATTATATACACCTGGAAAATCCTAGAGGGACTAGTACCGAACTTGCACACGAAAATCACTCACTACGAAAGCAAAAGACTTGGCAGACGATGCAACATCCCCCCAATGGAAAGCAGGGGTGTCACTAGCACGTTAAGAGACCATACAATAAGTGTCAGGGGCCCGAGACTGTTCAACTGCCTCCCAGCAAACATAAGGGGGATTACCAACAGACCCCTGGCAGTCTTCAAGCTGGCACTGGACAAGCACCTAAAGTCGGTTCCTGACCAGCCGGGCTGTGGCTCGTACGTTGGTTTGCGTGCAGCCAGCAGTAACAGCCTGGTTGATCAGGCTCTGATCCACCAGGAGGCCTGGTCACAGACCGGGCCGCGGGGGCGTTGACCCCCGGAACTCTCTCCAGGTAAACCATCTGCCAAGTGCGAGACAAATGCGTTACCTGTTTGTATTCACCTAACGCTTAACATGAATTAAACGAACATAACCTGTCGGTCAGCTGTAAGCTAACCCCTAGATATCTGCTTGCTACTAACATCCAGGAGCCTTGCTAACACCCAGGTACCTACTTGCTGCTGGGTGTCTCGAGCAGCAGTCACTCAACACCATGGATCTCAGTCCTCCAGACATGAACCACTTCTGCTAACACTGATGCACCTAAACATAATAGCAGATAAATTATATAAATTCTATTAATAGCAAAATTGATACATCCATTTATTATTATTAAAGATTCGCCGGTATTCTCCCGGCCCGGGCCTTTTCCAAGTGGTGGCCCGGCCTTGGCTCCCTGTCTAGGGAGTGTCTGAGACCTAAGTCTGCCATGGGAGGAGGCACAAGTACCTCATCGTCTTTGGGACCAACTGTCCCCAGGCCTAGCCACAAGCTAGGCCTCTCTGGTCTGCCATCCCCGCCCCAAGGGGGCTAATGGGAATGACAGTCTTATGGGCTAAAGGCTCGGGCTCAGGCACCTACCCAACCCTAGAAAGGCTGGGCATGGTGTCGATGATCTATTTTCAATTTTTTTTTTTCGCCGGTATTCTCCCGGCCCGGGTCTTTTCCAAGTAGTGGTGACCCGGCCTTGGCTCCCTATCTGGGGAGTGTCTCGAGACTTAAGTCTCCCATGGGAGGAGGTACAAGTACCTCCTCATCTTTGGGACCAAGTGTCCCCAGGCCTAGCCACATTCCCCGCCCTCACAGGGCTCGTAGGGAAAAGCTAGGCCTCTGGTCTGCCATCTACCCCGCCTCAAAGGGGCTCGTGGGGATGGCAGTCTTATGAGCTGCAGATGGTAGCAAGCTCAGGCCTCTATTATTTTCAATAATTATTATTATTAAAGATTAGCCGGTATTCTCCCGGCCCGGGCCTTTTCCAAGTGGTGGCCCGGCCTTGGCTCCCTCTTTAGGGAGTGTCTGAGACCTAAGTCTCCCATGGGAGGAGGCACAAGTACCTCCTCATCTTTGGGACCAACTGTCCCCAGGCCTAGCCACAAGCTAGGCCTCTCCGGTCTGCCATCCCCGCCCCAAGGGGGCAAATGGGAATGACAGTCTTATGAGCTAAAGGCTCGGGCTCAGGCACCTACCCTACCCTAGAAGGGTTAGGCATGGTGTCGATCATTGCTGTACACTAACGGCTTCTTTCAAGGCAAGCGATACTGCAGACCTGGAGAATGTACAGAGAACTTTCAAGGCACACATAAGTATGATGAAGCATCTAAATTATTGGGAACGGTTGAAGTCCCTTGATTTGTATTCCCTGGAACGCAGGCGAGAAAGTTGCATGATAATATACAATTGGAAAATCCTAGAGGATTAGTCCCAAATTTACATACGAGAATCACTCCCTACGAAAGCAAGATTCGATAGGAGATGCGACATACCCCAATGAAAAGCAGGGGTACAACGAGTACACTAAGGGACAACACAATAAGTGTTAGGGGCCCAAGACTGTTCAACTTCTTCCTGACATACGTAAAGAGGATTACCAATAAGAGACCTAGCGGTCTTCAAGAAGGCTCTGGACAGGCACGTAAAGTCAGTACCTGATCAGCCGGTCTGTGGTTCGTATGTCAGTTTGCGTACAACCAACAGTAACAGTCTGGTTGATCAGGCCCTGATCCACCGCGCTAATCCCCGAAACCCCCCTCTCCGGTTATACACCTTGTGTTACAACTCTTGTATTCTGGAATAAGATAAAAATTAATGGATTCAGAGACAATTCACAAATGTTAAAGAAATATTGAAGTATTTTATCTATAATGGCATATTAGCCAGTCTGAAAAAAATAGCCTAATTTTCCCTTTTTGGAAATAATTCATAACTTCTTAAACTTGTGAAATTTCAACTATTCTTTGGTCAAATATAAATAATTCAAAGCCTGATATAAGCTGTAATATTTTCTTGACTGAATTCATGCCTACATAATTAATTCTTTACGACTGTAATTAGATGTAAGTATGTAAATAGGTCGTCATCACTGTAACTTAGCTATCAAAATTTTGGCCTATAGTTCTTGGACCCATGTTTATTATTAAAGATTCGCCGGTGTTCTCCCGGCCCGGGCCTTTTCCAAGTGGTGGCCCGGCCTTGGCTCCCTGTCTAGGGAGTGTCTGAGACCTAAGTCTGCCATGGGAGGAGGCACAAGTACCTCATCGTCTTTGGGACCAACTGTCCCCAGGCCTAGCCACAAGCTAGGCCTCTCTGGTCTGCCAATGGAAATAAGTAAAGGACCCCAATGGAAATAAGTAAAGGACCCCAATGGAAATAAGTCACTCTGACTTTTTTGGGTTATCCTAGGTTCTCTACACACATGCTGCTATGTATGATAATTCTATGTAACTGTATTTGTTTTTTTTAGATTTTGCCACCGAAGTGGCTAGTTTATTGTGCACCCCATATCCATCCTGTGGACGGTAGCGCGAGAGCATATGGATACACAAAAGGCCTAGGAACTAGGCCCCAAAGGGTTAACAGGAATACATATGGATTTATATCTACATATCTATAGTTCACTTATCTGTTACAAGCAAATTTAGGAAATTTGCTTAGTATATCTGGTATCTTATTTTCATTAATAAGATATCTTGACATGTCACATAGGTTATTATACTGTCTGTCTCTGTATTCCTCAATAAGTGGACAATTAAGCACATAGTGTTCAAGAGAGTGACCATATGCCTGATCACATAATTTACATTTAGTTTGATCATCATCTGTGTGTCTCCCAAACTGCCAGAAGTACTTGTAACCAAGCCTAAGCCTGGCCATTACAACATCAGTCAGTCTGTTCACATTGCAAGTTGCTCCATAAACATACTTATCTACGTTCATGTTATCATAGTGGGTTATAGATCTACTCAGGCTTCTAACTGCATTCCTATAACAATCATTTTCATTATTTACTTCTCTCCTAATATTATTCCTAATGCTAGACACAGTTATACCAAAGTTATATTCTACATTCTCCTTCTGGGTACTCTTCTTGGCTAACATATCAACTTTATCATGAAGGAGTAATCCAATGTGTGATGGGATCCATAGCAATTGTACATTAATTCCTTTGTTCCTAATTTTTGAGTATCTATACCTGGCTTCCCCAATGAGCATGTTGTTGGAGTCATTATATGAATCAAGAGCATTCAATGATGTATACCTGAATAAACTTACTTACTTACTTGACATCCCCGCCCCAAGGGGGCTAATGGGAATGACAGTCTTATGAGCTAAAGGCTTGGGCTCAGGCACCTACCCTACCCTAGAAAGGCTGGGCATGGTGTCGATGCCATGACTACACCCACAAGATGGGTATGAGACGCGTAGTAAAATATTAATATAAAAGGCTGCGTTTGTTATGTTAGACTTTTTTTTACCAAAAAAAATCTTCTATCAAACAAGTTCAAAGCATAACTATACTCATTGAAAACTTATTTACGAAAGAAGAATTTACATATTAATATCTCGATAACCACAAAAGAGACGTCCATAATATTTATACTAAATAATAAAGTTTACCCTGGTAGGAGTGAGTGTTGCTGGTGTCTGCTGCTCCACCATGGTCATCACTAACATATTATCTCGGGTAAAAATATTAAACCTGTGTCTTTGTGAAGGAATTAGTGAATCTAAAAGTGGTAAAGAGAATCTTTGGATACTTTTAGTACGTCAGGAGAAATATGTACTTGGTTAATTGTCTTGAAAAGTGGTTAAATAGTTGACCTGGTGATTACCTTCTGTTTGGAATAGTGGTAATGTTAATTTGGATATTTCATTTCTTGAATGCATTTTTTTTATCGAATAATTAGACACTGGCAGGAAAACAATATTGTTAACGAATGTTAACCGCTGTGTTGTAATATCTGATTATTGAAGATGCTGTCATGCCGATTAGGGGCTCTTGATCCAAGGATTTGTAGTTAGACTCCATTCCCTTGGACATCTGAATACCTTCCATTCCCCAGTCGCTGTTTGACCCCTATGGGTTTAGTACTTCACTGTGTGTATAAGATGTAATTATCTTTTAAAGTTTGAGCTGGTGCTGTTAAGTCATTGCTAGTCTTATGCCCCTCAAGGAAGGTTCCTTGATACTGGTCAGGGGCTCTTGATCTAAGGAATTCGATATGCTTCAGTTCCCTGAATTGAGTCTGAATACCTTTTATCCCACTCCCCACAGGCGCTGTATAATCCTACGGGTTTAGCACTCCATGGTTATAATAATTATAATTGATGCCTGCCTGTGGCTCTTGATTAAATAAATTTGATCTGCTCTCCCAGTTCCTGGATCGTATCTTGAGTGCCTATTTGACCCCTTAAGATGAGATAAATATTTTCTTTGCAAGGTTACAGTGTGTATTTACAGTTTTGATTAGTTAAGAACAAAGAAAGCCACTATCATGCCGGATCATTTCGGGCAGACTTATCCTAATACATAATAACTACTTGAGTCTAGACAAGATAAATGTGATAAATCCCACCAGGCCATAGTGCCCCGTGGCCTGGTGGCAAAGGTCTCTTTTCACACGGTGATGGTCCGGGTTTGATTCCTGGAGAAGATAAGATAAGATAAGATTTCGTTCGGATTTTTAACCCCGGAGGGTTAGCCACCCAGGATAACCCAAGAAAGTCAGTGCGTCATCGAGGACTGTCTAACTTATTTCCATTGGGGTCCTTAATCTTGTCCCCCAGGATGCGACCCACACCAGTCGACTAACACCCAGGTACCTATTTGCTGCTAGGTGAACAGGCCAACAGGTGTAAGGAAACGTGTCGAAATGTTTCCACCCGCCGGGAATCGAACCCGGGCCCTCCGTGTGTGAAGCGGGAGCTTTAGCCACCAGGCCACCGGGCCTGGAAACATCGGAACTGTTTGCTTACACCTGTTGTCTATGTTCACCCATCAGTAAAATGGGTACCTGGGTGTTAGTCGACTGGTGTGGGTCGCATCCTGGGACAAAACTGACCTAATTTGCTTGAGGGGCTTTCTATATAGTAGTATGTCATTGATGTCAGCTAGGCCTGTATACCTTGTACATGTACTTCCAGTAAATAAAGATATTATATTATTATAAGTTTATTCAGGTATACACAGATACATAGAATATACATAGCAGCATATGTGTAGGAACCTAGGATAACCTAACCTGGAGTTTACCTGGAGAGAGTTCCGGGGGTCAATGCCCCCACAGCCCGGTCTGTGACCAGGCCTAAAAAGGTAAGAGTGACTTAATTCCCATGAATATAATAATGCTGATCTTAACAGGGTGGCTTAAATCTCAGCAGCAGTGCGTTCGACTACTGAAGGACCTTTGGAGAATGTATACTTATGGCCATATGCTAAACATGCATATCAGTAACTTTCATGGAGGGGTTCCTTGATGCTGTTGAAAGGTTCTTGATCTGAGGAATCAGGTGTCTCCATTCATATCAAACCTGGATATCTCCCATTTCCAGGGGCTGTATAACCCTTCCCCTCAAGGGAGGTTCCTTGATGCTGGTGAGGGGCTCTTACTCTAGGGAATTAGAACTGTGCTTCAGTTCCCTAAATTAAGCCTATGTCTCACCTCCCCCTACAGGTGCTGTATAATCCCTGCAGGTTTAGCACTCCCCCATAATAATAATACTAATAGTATTAGTAAAACCCTTCTTGGTTTAGTAGTTCCCATGAATATGATAATATACATCACATCATTAGACAACATTCATATTATTGATATGTACAGAGATATTACAGAAGTGTTGGTAATTTGTATTTGTAACTTAATGATTCATGATGGTAGGATTGCTGGTGTCTTTTGTCTGTCTCATAAACATGCAAGATTTCAGGTATGTCTTGCTACTTCTACTTACACTTAGGTCACACTACACATTCATGTACAAGCATATATATACACACCCCTCTGGGTTTTCTTCTATTTTCTTTCTAGTTCTTGTTCTTGTTTATTTCCTCTTATCTCCATGGGGAAGTGGAACAGAATTCTTCCTCCATAAGCATGCGTGTTGTAAGAGGCAACTAAAATGCCGGGGGCAAGGGCCTAGTAACCCCTTCTCCTGTATAAATTACTAAATTTAAAAAGAGAAACTTTCGTTTTTCTTTTTTTGGGCTACCCTGCCTTGGTGGGATACGGCCGGTTTGTTGAAAAAAAAACTTAATGATTTTTATATATTGATATTCAAAGGTAACATTTTATGGTGACTTAATCTTGAGTATTATTATGGTCAATTTTTTATGTTTCTGGAAGTATTTTTGGAGGTAGAAGTAGTCTTAGAAACTTAATTGCATTTTTAATGCTTCTGTGGGTCATGGCCATCTACTCACACCATATGATTTTCCAGTACACAAAAGAACATAAAAGAAAACTGAAGTAGGCCATGGGCCCATGTTAGGCAGGTTTAACACACCCAACTACATCCATTCATATACTTATCCAACCTATATTTAAAGCTACTCTTAAATTGTCGCTCCAATGATTCTACCTGGGAGTTTGTTCTACTCGTCTACAGCTCTGTTGCTATACCTTATATCCTTTTTAAATCTAAATGGTTATGTACTTTCAGCTAGATATTTATACCTCCATTATATATTCCTGTTTTCCACTTGAATATTTCTATCATATCTTCCCTAATTCTGCGTCATCCCAGAGAGTGCAAATTCATTACCTTCAGCCTGTCTTCACAGGAAAAATGTATATTTTCCAGTGCACCAGGCAAGCACCAGATAAGCTTGGCCCCAGGCTGGCTGTAAGAGTAAGAAAAGTCTTGAAATCCATCAAAGGTACATCTTATCAGTCCATTGCCTTTTCTGGGAATGATCGCTGAATGTATTGGTGAAAAGTTTTTGACTTGGTCCCAGATACTAACATTATCCTTAATGAGTTGCAATGGTCGATGAATTTATGCAGTATACACTGGCAGTGGTAACTACTTTTTCATTAGATTCATAACTCCTCATGATTTCTAGTTTTATTTCAAAGGTCATAAACATTCTCTTTCATGGCACTTGAGTTTTCTACAACTAGTGTTGTGCTTTCCAGTCATGATGTACAGCTGTTTTCCAAGGTAAAACTCTTGCCCCAAAAAGCAACAAACATGAGAAGGCGAGAACAAAAATTGAAGCATTAGTATAATATTTATTATTTACCACCATCTGTACCTTGGCCATCATAGGTAGTCAGACAGTTGAAAGAGAAAATCACTTATTTGTACATAATTAATTGGCTCCTAAGTTCAAACATCACACCTATGGAATATTGTAAGTCATGTTGTTGAAAGTGTACATGTTTTTTATTGCCTACTGTGTGTGTTATTATTTATTTGTTTGTACTCTTTTTTAGTACAGGAGCAAAGCTATGCTCATTTTTTTTTTATGTATTGTTCAGTACATTGATCTTGTTTTCAGACTGCTACATGTGGTTTTCGGCACTACGCCACCGGCGGTCTAAATGATGTTGTCGTAGTGAGTGCTGTCCGGACCCCTATGGGGTCTTTTCGGTGAGTACTCTTGTATTTCCTCCCAAGGCTGCAGCAAAATATTTAGTGTATATTGTTCATCTATTATTTGTTGACTAATTTTTTTGTTGGGCATATTCCTACCAATTAATATTCACTAATTTCTTATATCAAGAGTAAGATGGTTCACTCTATTCTACTAACATTACCAAAGTGTAAGTAGGAGTAGCAAGATATCCCTGTTATCTAGCGTGTTTATGAGACAGAAAAAGACACCAGCAATCCTACCATCATGCAAAACAGTTACAGGTTTCTGTTTCACAGTCATCTGGCAGGACGGTAGTACTTCCCTGGGTGGTTGCTGTCTACCAACCTACTACCTATAAAAATATGCTTGGATTAATCTTATTACAGCCAGCTGTCTGAGTGGTTAATGCAATGGCCTGTGAATTTTAGGAGCTTGCCTTGGGTTCAAACCCCATCCATTCTGTGATTTCCTTGTTTTTATTACATATTTACTATTCCTGTAATACTGTATGTTTATTCTAATTGAGGAGGCCTGGTGTGAGACTGGTGCACAAAGGTAATGATCCCTAAAACCATTACTTAACAGTTAAATAGATATTTACAGTATTGAGGTAGAGAGTATAGGTTATGCTAATTTAAATACAGTGGACCCTCAGCTAACGATATTAATCCGTTCCTGAAAGTTTATTGTTGGCTGAAATTATCGTTAGCCGAATTAATTTTCCCCATAAGAAATAATAGAAATCAAATTAATCCATGCAAGACACCCCAAAGTATGAAAAAAAAAATTTACCACATGAAATATTAATTTTAATACAGACAAACTGACACTTACCTTTATTGAAGATCTGGTGATGGTGATGATTGATGGGATGGGAGGAGGGGAGAGTGTGGAAGTTGTTAATGTTTAGAAGGGGAATTTCCTTCCATTAGGACTTGAGGTATCAAGTCCTTTTCTGGAGTTACTTCCCTTCTTCTTTTAATGCCACTAGGACCAGCTTGAGAGTCACTGGACCTCTGTCGCACAACAAATCTGTCCATAGAGGTCTGTACCTCCCGTTCCTTTAAGATTTGCCTAAAATGGGCCACAACATTGTCATTGTAATAGTCACCAGCACGGCTTGCAATAGCTGTGTTAGGGTGATTTTCATCCATAAAGGTTTGCACTTCAAGCCACTTTGCACACATTTCCTTAATCTCTTTTTTCAATTTCATACTAATTCTCACCCTTTTTACCACAGGGATGGCACTAGAAGCTTTCTTGGGGTCCATGGTGACTTATTTTGTAGTTACAAGCACTAAAAACATTGGGATAATGTGAAATGTACCGAATGTATGCGTAGATGCGACCGCACTTGCTGGCTTGTAAACACTGGTGCTGAGGCCACACGTGGACGCGTCTTGAACGAATCGTGTTGGGAACAGCTGTTAAAAATTGACCACTGTCTGGAAAATCTTCCAGCTCCTGCACCCAACATCTTGCTCCTGGGGGATTTCAACTTAAGGCACCTAAAATGGAGGAATATAGCAAATAATATTGTGGCAGTAATAACACCAGGAGGCAGCTCTGATGAAAACTCACACTCACACGAGCTTTTAAATCTCTGCACAAAATTCAATTTAAACCAGCAAATAATAGAGCCTTCTAGACTGGAGAATACACTAGACCTCATCTTCACTAACAATGATGATCTGATAAGAAATGTCACCATATCAAAAACAATATACTCAGATCACAACATAATTGAGGTTCAGACATGTATGCGTGGAGCCCCAGACCGACATAATGAGATTAGTCACGAGGGAGCATTCACCAAATTCAACTTCAATAACAAAAACATAAAGTGGGACCAAGTAAACCAAGTCCTAACCGGTATAAGCGGGGAAGATATACTAAGCAACACAGACCCCAACTTATGCCTAGAACAGATTAACTTGGTGGCACTCGATGTATGCACAAGGCTTATTCCTCTAAGAAAAAGGAGGAGTAGATGTAAAATAGAAAGAGACAGGCGCTCCCTTTACAGGCGACGGAAAAGAATAACAGAGCAGCTAAAAGAGGTCAATATATCTGAAATGCGTAGGGAGACACTGGTCAGAGAAATAGCAAGCATCAAACTTAAGCTAAAGGAATCTTATAGGAGTCAGGAATCGCGGGAAGAACTAAAAGCCATAAATGAAATCGAAAGAAACCCAAAGTAAACCATACCCCCGGCCGGGATTGAACCCGCGGTCATAGAGTCTCAAAACTCCAGCCCGTCGCGTTAGCCACTAGACCAGCTAGCCACAATAAGATTCATCCAACTAGGATTGAACCCAACGGGATTGAACCGCTGGTTCAATCCCGGCCGGGGGTATGGTTTATTTGCAATCGTGTCATTACGATTTCTTGAGTCATGAAACCCAAAGTATTTCTTCTCCTATGCCAAATCAAAGTCAAGAACAATGTCCAGTATTGGGCCCCTACTTAAACAAGATGGGTCCTACACAGATGACAGCAAGGAAATGAGTGAGCTACTCAAGTCCCAATATGACTCAGTTTTTAGCAAGCCGCTAACCAGACTGAGAGTCGAAGATCAAAATGAATTTTTTATGAGAGAGCCACAGAATTTGGTTAACACAAGCCTATCCGATGTTATCCTGACGCCAAATGACTTCGAGCAGGCGATAAATGACATGCCCATGCACTCTGCCCCAGGGCCAGACTCATGGAACTCCGTGTTCATCAAGAACTGCAAGAAGCCCCTGTCACGAGCCTTTTCCATCCTATGGAGAGGGAGCATGGACACAGTTACTAAAAACAACAGACATAGCCCCACTCCACAAAGGGGGCAGTAAAGCAACAGCAAAGAACTACAGACCAATAGCACTAACATCCCATATCATAAAAATCTTTGAAAGGGTCCTAAGAAGCAAGATCACCACCCATCTAGAAACCCATCAGTTACACAACCCAGGGCAACATGGGTTTAGAACAGGTCGCTCCTGTCTGTCTCAACTATTGGATCACTATGACAAGGTCCTAGATGCACAAGAAGACAAAAAGAATGCAGATGTAATATATACAGACTTTGCAAAAGCCTTCGACAAGTGTGACCATGGCGTAATAGCGCACAAAATGCATGCTAAAGGAATAACAGGAAAAGTCGGTCGATGGATCTATAATTTCCTCACTAACAGAACACAGAGAGTAGTCGTCAACAGAGTAAAGTCCGAGGCAGCTACGGTGAAAAGCTCTGTTCCACAAGGCACAGTACTCGCTCCCATCTTGTTCCTCATCCTCATATCCGACATAGACAAGGATGTCAGCCACAGCACCGTGTCTTCCTTTGCAGATGACACCCGAGTCTGCATGACAGTGTCTTCCATTGCAGACACTGCAAGGCTCCAGGCGGACATCAACCAAATCTTTCAGTGGGCTGCAGAAAACAATATGAAGTTCAACGATGAGAAATTTCAGTTACTGAGATATGGTAAACACGAGGAAATTAAATCTTCATCAGAGTACAAAACAAATTCTGGCCACAAAATAGAGCGAAACACCAACGTCAAAGACCTGGGAGTGATCATGTCGGAGGATCTCACCTTCAAGGACCATAACATTGTATCAATCGCATCTGCTAGAAAAATGACAGGATGGATAATGAGAACCTTCAAAACTAGGGAGGCCAAGCCCATGATGACACTCTTCAGGTCACTTGTTCTATCTAGGCTGGAATATTGCTGCACAATAACAGCATATTTCAAGGCAGGTGAAATTGCTGACCTAGAAAATGTACAGAGAACCTTCACGGCGCGCATAACGGAGATAAAACACCTCACTTACTGGGAGCGCTTGAGGTTCCTAAACCTGTATTCCCTGGAATGCAGGCGGGAGAGATACATGATTATATACACCTGGAAAATCCTAGAGGGACTAGTACCGAACTTGCACACGAAAATCACTCACTACGAAAGCAAAAGACTTGGCAGACGATGCAGCATCCCCCCAATGAAAGGCAGGGGTGTCACTAGCACGTTAAGAGACCATACAATAAGTGTCAGGGGCCCGAGACTGTTCAACTGCCTCCCAGCATACATAAGGGGGATTACCAACAGACCCCTGGCAGTCTTCAAGCTGGCACTGGACAAGCACCTAAAGTTGGTTCCTGACCAGCCGGGCTGTGGCTTGTATGTTGGTTTGTGTGCAACCAGCAGCAACAGCCTGGTTGATCAGGCTCTGATCCACCAGGAGGCCTGGTCACAGACCGGGCCGCGGGGGCGTTGACCCCCGGAACTCTCTCCAGGTAAACTCCAGGTGAGTTTTTTAGCCTTAGCTGAGGCAAAATTTTTGCATTAAAATGTATCATTAGCCGGATTTAACGTTAGGTGGTGCCATCGTTAGCTGAGGGTCCACTGTATTTTTTGTTTTTATATTTTTATCTTTTATTCAAGGTTTTGTGGTAACCTCAGTGTCTTACGCAGTGCATATCTGCAGTTGAAAGTCATGGATACTTTTCTTCTGATATGGAACAATTAATTTTAGGTCGTCTCTGGCCTCCATGCGGGCCCCTGAACTTGGTGCTGTTGCTATCAAAGCAGCTGTTGAGAGAGCAGGAGTTGACCCAAAAGCTGTGCAAGAGGTCAGTCATTGCTTTGGCTGTCAGTTAGTAAAGTTATGAATTTCCTTATGATCTGTGAATTTCCAAAGAGAAAAGTGTATTAAACACTGGCTGCTGGTACAAGGGAACCCAGGTGGAGATGTACTGGAAGAGGGATGCTGTCTGTATTCTTAGTAGAGAACCCTCTTCAGTCTGCTGAAGAGAGCCTTCCTTCATTGGGGAGAGGGTCCATTGATGTCCATGAATAGCTCTTGATCCAAGAAACTGGAGCTGTCTGTCCTTTCTTTGAATCAAACTTGATTATCTTCTATCACCCAGGCCCTATTTAGCATTTCCCATGAAAAAAAAATATTACCAGAACCTCAGTTGTAAGCTGAAATAAATACACATTGCTTCTCTTATCTTGTTCACCTGTACCATATTCTGATATACTGTAGTAACTTGCAATATTTTGTTGAAAATGCTTGTGGAAGTTTCAGCAATACTAATATGGCAATAAACTATACATATAATTTGCAGTATCTTGATTAGACCCAGAAAAAGGCTTGTAAATGTATGATTTTGGCAGTACAGATAATTGGCTGGTTTCTAGGTCTACATGGGTCACGTGATAGCAGCTGGAGCAAGTCAAGCACCTACACGTCAAGCTACACTCCTGGCTGGTCTGGATAAATCTACCCCATGCACTGGTGTTAACAAGGTGAGTCTGGGTCCTCACACTAAACCTGCTCTAATTTTAGTCTTTAATGGGGTGCCTTGATGCTGATGAAAGGCTCTTGATACAAGGAATTTCAACTTCCCTTCCCTTTCAAGTATCAGATAGATGTCTAGGTGAGTACAGATGAGAAGCACACCTGTCTTGCACTCAGCAGACGGGGGATCAGGCCTCCACCACAGCTTTCACTGAATGACTTGCAGGGGTTTAGTGCTTAATTATTATTATCCTAGGATCAGAACAGATTGCCACCGATTCTCAGGTGCTGTAGATCTCCATGGGTGTAGCAGTTCCCTGTCACTATACATACGTATAATCTTTGTAGTTAATATCCAAAGCAGTAAAATAAAAACACTGATGCCATTAATGTTGGCCAGATATCTTGATTTTTTATCCCAACTGAGGCAGAGTGACCTAAAAAAAAAAAAAAAAATTTTTCTTTTTAAATTTATTAATTTATACAGAAGAAGGGATTACTAGCCCCTTGCTCCCAGCATTTTAGTCGCCTCTTACGACACGCATGGCTTACAGAGGAAGAACTTTGTCCCACTTTCCCATGGAGAATCTTGACTGTTATGTGCAAAATTTATGCAGTGTATAGTTAATTGTAGTAAAAAAATGGCATCAGCTTTCATCTGTTGCTGATATTTCTAAACATAAAGAGAAACCTTTTAGTGTACATTGTTGAGCACATGGTTTACCCATAACATGGACAGTAGAACCCCCTGTATCCACTGATTTGGTATCTGTGGTTTCAGTTATCCATGGTTTACTGTGACCCAAAAATACCTCATAATCTTGCATAATAATGGCCTCAAGGCACTGAAGTAGAGAAGCTGACAGCTCTTCCAAGCCTAAGACAAGCTGTGAAGTACTTCCCATCAGTGAAAAAGTGTTAAATCTCCACTTATTGTGCAAAATTTATCAATTAAACTTTATAATAGGTATGTATAGGATTTATATATATATATATATATATATATATATATATATATCCGGGGTTTCGGTATCCATGGCAGGTCCATGGAACGTATCCCCAATGGATACGGGGTCCTACTGTATATCCATAACCTGCTGAATGAGGTAATGAAGAATCACTTTGGGGGTAAATTTTTTTTAGCAAAATGCTACAAAAAATTCTTAATACTTTTTATTAGAATTGAAATTTGATCTTACAAAACACATTCTTATATGGCTAAAAAATAATGAAATAAACATTTTTGTACTAGAATGTCTACACATGGACCAAAAAATAAATCCTCATAATTTTTTACTGTACTATACAATTGAAGATAACTTTATATATTTAAAGTATATGTTGTTAACATTATTGCATTTGCTGTGGCTTGCATTTTCTATTCAGAAAAAATGTTATTCGTGTATCAGAACAGGACTCCAGCAAGCATGTTACCTGTGCATTAGAGCACAGTTAATGTGTTTGCCATCAGTGTGGCTATCTACATTGCTTATTTTCTACCTAAGGTATACCTGGAGGGTGTTTCAGGAGTCAATGCCCATGCAGCCTGGTCCATGACCAGGTCTCACGGTGGATCAGGGCCTGATCAACCAGACTGTTACTGCTGGTTGCACATAAATCAATGTATAAACCACAGCCCGGTTGGTCAGGTACTGACTTTAGGTGCCCATCCAGCTCCCTCTTGAAGATAGCCAGGAGTCTGTTGGTAATTCCCCCTATGTATGCTGGGAGGTAGTTGAACAGTCTTGATTCATTTATCATATCAACCCTGAAGCACAGCACTTGAAGTACCAGAAGGAACAGTACATTTAAGGAATTTTATCTCAACATTTAGCACTTCACAAGCCACTTCTCTGACTATAAACACTTTCTCCCAATATGTAGATGGTTTATCCCAGTTTTCCCTTCACATGTTACATGTGGATGATTCAATAGTTTTCTTGAGTTAATTTATGTTACTATCATCAATGCCAGATAATTCACTTGAACTGCCAGCATCAGAATGGATCTCATTTGGATCATCTGTATTTGAAACAAGGTTCTATAACTGGTGCCACTTTCTTCTTTTGGAGATATTTTTTCTTTTCTTGCCTCTTGTTTTCATCTTAATGCCCCATGCATTAAGACCCGATGCCATTTCTGTGGCTGAAGTGTTTGATTACGTTCAGTAACTGCAACAATAAATTTGCACATGCATACATTTTATTAGACATTTTCTCTCGCTTCACATTCTGAGTGTCTGTGGTTCGATCCCTCACAAGGGTGGAAACATTGGGCATGTTTCCTTACAACTTGTTGTCTCCCCGTTCACCTAGCAAGCAAGTATTAGCTGACTGGTATGAGTTGCTTCCTGGAGATGAGACTGAAATATCCAAATAAGACAGTCCTCAATGAAGCACTGACTTTCTTGGGTTATCCTAGATGGTTAACCCTCCAGGTTAAAAATCCCAACAAATCTTATCTTACATGTTCAGGGGATTTGTTGATACTGGTGAAGAGCATTTGATTTAAAGGATTAGAGATATACTGGGTCTTCCCTTCCTCTGATCAAACCTGATTATCTACCATTATGGGTTTGGCGCTTTGCCATAAATACAAATTGTAATAATCTACAGGTGTTTGAGGCCAGGTGATCCACTACCAGTTATATTTTTATTTACTTAATTCTTGCAGGTTTGTGCATCCGGGATGAAGTCAATAATGCTGGCTTCGCAATCATTGATGTGTGGGTCACAGGAAGTGATGGTTGCTGGTGGGATGGAGAGCATGTCCAACGTTCCTTATTACATGATGCGAGGTGACTCTCCCTATGGAGGTGTCACACTTCACGTGAGTCCTTTCTCTACGTTTTTCTGAAAGCCTCAACCCTTCTTTTTCACTTTAATAGAATTTCTTGCTGCTCCATAACTTTGGGTTTCTTCCAGTATGTGTGAGTTTTACTTATTTTTAATAAGAATAAGAACAATAACAGTAAAATATTTTGATGACCTGTTCTTTAACCCTTTCATTATCATGATCCCTGAAATTAAAAGTGCTGACAGTGTTGCAGTTTAAAAAAAATCTGAAACAGTAGAGAATCTTTTTCTGAAATTTATGATAACAAAAGCTCAAAATTTTTTGGAAAGCTTATGGAATTAACTAGGTGCAAGGTTAGAGATCTGGGTACAATTTGTGCATTGACAATTTTGCTCACTTTGTTTTATTTTAAGCCAGTTCCATTGCCTAGTTAAACCACATCCTTAGTTATTTCATTAGTACAGGAGGGTCCTGCATATACTGCACCTTCTTTTTGTTGTTCCATGTTTTCATTGGCTTAAAATTGAGCCATTGTCCATCATGTTCCATGTGCTGGTGATAGTCACCGGCGGATGGAACAGTGGCTCACTTGAAAGCCAGTGAAAACATGGAACCCTGAAAATAGGCACTGTAGATGCAGGGCCCTGTGTATGGTATGACTTCTGTTCTGTCAATTGAACACAAGAAATTGCCCATTTACCAATCAGAACTATCCTATTAATGCACAGAAGTCAGTATGATGGCTAATTTTACACAAAATAAAACAAATTCCATTTTAAAAAAGAATCCAGAAATAAACTCTATGCATTCCAGCTACTAAAGCAACCTATCCTCTGTTCACTTATAAATTAGCTTGGACAATAGCTCTTTCAATGGCCGTCATGGAGAACTGTGTCATGTTGAAAATAATCCTGTTTTCAGCAATCCTGTTTAAAATACAGTAGACCATTGTTTAACCCTTTCAGGGTTTCTGACGTACTAGTACGTCTTACGCACCAGGGTTATTGACGTACTAGTACACGTAAATTCTAGCGCCTTCAAATCTAGCGAGAGAAAGCTGGTAGGCCTATATATATGAAAGAATGGGTCTATGTGGTCAGTGTTTACCTGGAGTTTACCTGGAGAGAGTTCCGAGGGTCAACGCCCCCGCGGCCCGGTCTGTGACCAGGCCTCCTGGTGGATTAGAGCCTGATCAACCAGGCTGTTACTGCTGGCTGCACGCAATCCAACGTATGTGCCACAGCCCGGCTGGTCAGTTACCGACTTTAGGTGCTTGTCCAGTGCCTGCTTGAAGACAGCCAGGGGTCTTTTGGTAATCCCCCTTATGTATGCTGGGAGGCAGTTGAACAATCTCGGGCCCCTGACACTTATTGTATTGTCTCTTAACGTGCTAGTGACACCCCTGCTTTTTATTGGGGGGATGTTGCATCGTCTGCCGAGTCTTTTGCTTTCGTTGCGAGTGATTTTCATGTGCAAGTTTGGTACTAGTCCCTATAGGATTTTCCAGGTGTATATAAACGTACAGAGGAGGATGACAAAGATGATCCCATGTATCAGAAATCTTCCCTATGAGGATAGACTGAGGGCCCTGAATCTGCACTCTCTCGAAAGGCGTAGAATTATGGGGGATATGATCGAGGTGCATAAATGGAAAACAGGAATAAATAAAGGGGATGTAAATAGCGTGCCGAAAATTTCCAGCCAAGACAGGACTCGCAGCAATGGTTTCAAGTTGGAAAAATTCAGATTCAGAAAGGATATAGGAAAGCTCTAGTTTGGTAATAGAGTTGTGGATGAGTGGAACAAACTCCCGAGTACAGTTATTCAGGCTAAAACATTGTGTAGTTTTAAAAATAGGTTAGATAAATACATGAGTGGGTGTGGGTGGGTGTGAGTTGGACCTGACTAGCTTGTGCTGCTGGGTCTGGTGCAGTGCTCCATCCTTGAGTGGAGATGATCAGATTGGGTGGGTCATTGGGCTAATCTGGGGGGAGTCATTGGTCTAATCCGGGGGGGGGGGGGGGGACATGGACCTTCTCTGCATGGGTCAGTAGGCCTGTTGCAGTGTTCCTTCTTTCTTATGTTCTTCTTTTAATGCCACTAGGACCAGCTTGAGAGTCACTGGACCTCTGTCGCACAACATATCTGTCCATAGAGCTCTGTACCTCCCGTTCCTTTATGATTTCTCTAAAATGGGCCCAACATTGTCATTGTAATAGTCACCAGCACAGCTTGCAATAGCTGTGTTAGGGTGATTTTCATCCATAAAGGTTTGCAGTTCAACCCACTTTGCACACATTTCCTTAATCTTTGAAGTAGGCACAATGGATTCCACAACTGGCATAGGCGTCTCAGGGTTAGCCCCAAACCCTTCAAAATCTTTCTTAATTTCCATACTAATTCTCACCCTTTTTATCACAGGGATGGCACTAGAAGCTGTCTTGGGGCCCATGGTGACTTATTTTGCAGGTGCAATCACTAAAAACGCTGTGATAATATGAAATGTTCCGATTCTATGTTTGGATGCGACCGCGGTGGCTGGCTTGTAAACACTGCGCAGGCCACACGTGGACGCATCTCGAACGGAACGAATCGCGTTGGTCGAGTTTTTTAGCACTAGTTGAGGCAAATTTTTTTCGTTAAAATGTATCGCTAGTCGGATTTAACATTATACGATGCCATCGTTGGTTGAGGGTCCACTGCAGTTCTACTAGTAACCCCTTGAATATTCTACAAATAACCTCCTTAAAGTGAAGATCTGGCTATTTGTATTTCTATTTCTAACTGTACTTGTATATTAGGACAGCTTGCCGGTGTACGTTCCTGTTTTGTATTGTTTGTGTTTGATAAGGGCGCCTAAAAGCCCGTCTGTTTACAGTCTGCTTTATTGTCCAACGAATCCGTTTGAAACCGGTCAAGGGTTCGGATCAGACAAGGGTTCGGATCAGCCAAGGGTTCGCAACCAGTCGGATCTGATCAGTGGGTCATTTATTTAAAACATATCTGGTCGGTGATTTGGGCTAACACATGAAGGAACTACTGGAAATTAGATTGATTAGATTGATACAAAAGTCTAACTTGCGTTTTGAAGAACCGGTGATTACTGGCAGCTCCTACAATGACGAATGGTCGAGACCTTTATTTATGGCCTGAAGGATTATCGGTCACTGTATCTAGCTTTTCTAGGTTTTTTCCATCTCCACCACAACAAATGCTATATTATCACTATAGTTGATTGGTGAAATTATTGGAGGAAAGACGCTTTTTCTGGAGTGATCTTTGCTTTTCGTTTTGTATATTGCGACCGCTGGTAACTACAGGCTATATGAATTTCACTGTATACGTCTGGTATTTCAAGAATGGAGAAAAAACTAATGAAAGACACTCCACTCCACTAAGTACCATTATATTACTGGTTAGTTGCATTATGTTACTGGTTAGTGCAGAGTATAAAAAAAAATCCTGCCGCACACAGTGCATAATGAGAAAAAAAAATTTTGACCGTGTTTTTGGTTTAAAACAGCGACTTTGCAGTGTACTTTTGTATGGTATTTATGGTTGTATTCTAGTTTTCCTGGTCTCATTTTATAGAATGGAAGACATATTACAGAAATTGAGATGTTTTTGATTGGTTTCACAATGAAAAGTACCTTGAAATTGAGCTCAAAGTAGCAGAAATGTTTGATTTTTGCCAAAGTTCAAAAGTAAACAAATCATGCCACGTGTCCAATACACGTCAACTGGTGAGTCTAATATTCTTTCACAAGTGCACTGATATTATTTATACTATTTCTACACTAATGCAGTAGTCTGCATAACAATAAATCTTCTATTTTTTGTGAGAATAAAAATTCAAAGTGGAAAGCAAAAGAAATGTAAGAGGGGCCTGGGGACGTGACTAATGAACAGAGAAAATGTTATTTTAGTGCCAGGAATGTCTGTCTTGTTTATTCTGGACCCTATTTGGAAATTGGCATCTTTTGAAATTTGTCTGAAATTGGCAAAATTGCCAATTTCTGACTATTGGATAGTTGAAATCGGTAAATGGGTGGTTTCTTTTACTCATTCGATAGAAAAAAATGGAGTTTAGCAAAATAGTTATGATTTTTGTCGACTAGTACACTGGAATTGGCCGAAAACAGGGCTCAAAATGGGCAAAATCGCAGATGCGTAAACATCGTCGAGACCTCTAACTTCAAAAGAGCATAATTCCATAAGTTTTCCATCAAATTTCATGCTTTTGGTGTCATTATGATCGGGAAAAGATTCTATAATTCCGTAAGGATTTTTTTTTTTTTTTCCAAAAAATTTTCGACCCTGAGAACAAGTTTAGAAGAGGGCCTCTTGACCCTGAAAGGGTAAACATGGTAGTTACATTCCTGAAAATGCCGTGTTAGACAAAACCGTGTTAGACAAACTGAAGAACTTGTGGGAAAAATAGGGTTATGCTCCTGGGAGCCCCCAAAAAGCCAAACAACTTTTTTTGAGACCTCCAGATCTTACAAAAATAAAAGGAATATGTAATTGTACTGCATTGTCGTGATGTATTGTGTTGTTTTGACTGCTTAAGACTACAAATGCAACAGAAATAATAGTATTTCTTACCTTAAATTGTGGGTGCTGGTGTTTGTCGATGATTGTGAAAAAGTGAAAAAGTATAAAGTCATTCAGTTAGTCAGTCAAGTCATTCATTCAATCAGTCATTCAGTCAGTCAAGTCAGTAAGTCATTCGGTCAACTCAGTAAGTCATTCCTTCAGCAAGTTAAGTCAGTCAGTAAGTCAGTCAGTCATCACACACTCATATTTGCCTCATTCTTTTTGTACAAAATGACGCTTCATTCTGGCTACAGGCTATCTCTTGTCTAATATCTCTGTTTTCTTTGTTAATTCTAAGACTTAAATGCTTAAACCTTTTCTTGCAACTTTCAGCAACACTTGTATGCCTGCTGGGTGCCATGATTGCTTGGCAGATTTAAGATATGGCAATCAATACGTATCTAAACAAACACAGCGAGCTACTGGCACAGGTTCATCCAACATGCGTATGAACTGAGCTGAAGGCTGGGAGGGTGGTGAGGGTGGCTGATGCTGGTGGGGGATGGCAGTAGCCCATCCCGCCCCGCGGGATGGGCGCTCAAAATGTTTTCCCTCCCACACCCGTATTAAATTAATTTTACAACGTGTTAAACAGAAATATGCCGCAATTCTTCAATTGTGCTATAATTAAAATGTGCAAGACAAAACCGTGTTAAACGATGGTCTATCGGTGGCCTGGTGGTTAACGCTCTCGCTTCACACGGTGAGGGCCTGGGTTCGATTCCCAGCCAGAGTAGAAACATTGGACGTGTTTCTTTCAACCTGTTGTCTATGTTCCCCATCAGTAAAATGAGTACCTGGGTGTTAGTCGACTGGTGTGGGTCGCATCCTGGGACACTGACCTAAGGAGGCCTGGTCACAGACCGGGCCGCGGGGGCGTTGATCCCCGGAACTCTCTCCAGGTAAACTCCAGGTAAATCATGTTGAAAATAATTCTATTTTCAGTTAAAACAACCCTTGATGGTGGCAAACCACTCAAGGTCTGAGGGAATAAAAATATCCTCCCCTTCCTAGGATTGAACCTGATTATGGTACTTCCTATTTCCTTTCTTTCTTTCAACACACTGGCCATATCCCACCGAGGCGGGGTGGCCCAAAAGGAAAAACGAAAGTTTCTCCTGTTACATTTAGTAATATATAAAGAAGAAGGGTTTACTAGCCCCTTGCTCCAGGCATTTTAGTCGCCTCTTACAACACGCATGGCTTACAGAGGAAGAATTCTGTTTCACTTCCCCATGGAAGTAAGAGGAAATAAACAAGAACTAGAAAGAAAATAGTAGAAAACCCAGAGGAGTGTGTATATATATGCTTGTACATGTATGTATAGTGCGACCCAAGTGCAAGCAGAAGCAGCAAGACGCACCCGAAATCTTGCATGCGTATGAGACAGAAAAAAAAAAAGGCACCAGCAATCCTACCATCATGTAAAACAGTTACAAAAGTGCATATATATAAACTAATTTATATGGCTGAATTATGTTTAAAATACCGAATGATGCAAAGTGAGAAACTACTTAGAAATAAGAAAGACAGGTAAGAGGTTAATCTGTACAATATTTCCAGTTTGATGAGTGGTAAAAGTTGAAGTAGCAGTGAAACAGAACACAATTACCATTTAAAAAACATAAGATTCAGTACAAAAGGAAAAAGGTTAATCTTATTCCTATTTCCTGTGGACTTAATTAAAGCTCTGTAAAACAATTAATAATAATTAGTCACGGAATGGGTGGGACTTGAACCCGTGGCAAGTGTGTCTAAGTGGTTAGCACATTGGCCTGTGGGTCATTACACGTTATTATGATTTCATGAGTCATTAATAACAATATTTTCAATAATCTCTTCTACCACAGGATGGTATTTTGCATGATGGGCTGACGGATTTTTACAATAAAATTCACATGGGAAACTGTGGGGAGAACACGGCAAAGAAGATGAACATTACTCGTGAAGAACAAGACGAATTTGGTAAGGCAGAAAAAAATTGTATACTAGTTCCCATTTGCTGTTGCTTTGGGAAAGTGATATAACTGAAGCACAGTTTTTGAGAAATTAAGTGAAGCTGGCAGTATCTGACGGTGTGCTCAGGGTGACATTGTAGTAATGCTGACAGTATATTCAGGCTGACATTGTGCTAGTATTGACAGTGTGTTCAGGGTAACATTGTGCTAGTATTGACAGTGTGTTCAGGGAAACATTGTACTAGTATTGACAGTGTGTTAAGGGTAACATTGTAGTATGTACTATTGACAGTGTGTTCAGGGTAACATAGGGCTAGTATTGACAGTGCATTCAGGGTAACATTGTGCTAGTATTGACAGTGTGTTCAGGATAACATTGTGCTGGTGCTGACAGTGTGTTTAGGGTAACATTGTGCTGGTACTGACAGTGTGCTCAGGGTAACATTATGCTAGTATTGACAATGTGTTCAGGGTAACATTGTATTAATATTGACAGTGTGTTCAGGGTAATATTGTGCTAATATTGACAGTGTGTTCAGGGTGAAAATTGCTGTGAAGTGAATCATAAGCTTTTTTTATTTTCAAATGCATATAAAAGCCTGATATGTTTATGCTATCATATATTAAATGAGCAATAGAGCTAGGCTGAAAAAATGCATATCCAGTACACACATTACTTAAAGTATAATTGTCCTTAGTTTATAGTGAGTGGTAAATATATTTATAGTAGGAAGTCTGAATAAATGAAGAATGGGTGTAATTGAAAACCGCGGCATTAACAAAATGCTGTAAAGCAAAGCACTGTAAAGTGAGGCCCTCCTATAGATGGACCCGTCGGCATTGTAGGTTAGTAGAGTTATGTATGTAACAGCAGTTTGACAAGAGTGTGTCTAATGTTTTTAGATATGCTTTATTCAGTAATTACAGTTGTTTGATATTTCCATGTTCAGTTAGAGCTTGTTAATGTATAGATAATTGTGGATTTTAAGGTCTGTGAAAATTAATATGAAGTTTATTTCCAGAAAAAATTTCAACAGTTATAAATAATTGGTGGAATGGAGTACAATCTAACTGGAAAAACTGCTGTTTACTCTGAACATTTTGGGCATCCTAATACATCCTGCTTATACAGCAGGTTTGGTTCCAGGCTACCGATGTAAAGCAAAAATCGCTGTAAAGTGAAATATAGCCTTTATTCACTTTCAAATGCATATAAAAGCCTGAAAACATGTTTACACTATTATATATTACATGAACAATAGAGCTACGCCAAAAAAAAAAAAAAATGCATATACAGTACACACACATTTTCATCCTTAGTTTACAGTGAGTGGTGAATATATTTATTGTAGGACGTCTGAATAAATGAAGAATGGCTATAATTGAAAACTGCTGCATGAGAGAAATGCCATAATGTGAAGTGCTGTAAAGTGGGGTCCACTTGTATATACTTATTAAGATTTAAGCATCTGAATGCTGATGATGTGCTCTTGTTCCAAGGCAGTCAGCAGAGTAGTCTGGTCTGAGACTAGGCTACATGAGTAGAAGATCCCTTGAAAGCAGTTACTAGCTTGTACCTTCCCCATGCTTAGTTAATACTTCATTACTTACTGTTTCCTGGGTGCTGTAGGACCTGGTGGTTTTAGAGCTTACCAGTGAATATAATGATGATAATGTGGGCAGCAAATCAATATTTAGAGTGCATATACATATACAGTATTATTTATTGAGAGATGTATTATGTTGTGTATTTTTCAAAATAATTTGTAGTTTGACATTTCTGTATTCAGCGAGACCTTGTTGGTGTACATATATCTATTTATGCATTTTCATTTCGTAATTAACTAGGTTATCTGTGTGTTGAATTCAGAGTTAGTTGTTCATTAACCCTTTGACTGTCACAAACCCCTTTCTGAAACTGTCATTCTTTGTCGCAAAATTTTTGAAAAAAAAAAGAATTATTTTTTCTTATGAAATCATAGAGAATCTTTTCCCGATGGTAATGACACCAAAAGTACGAAATTTGGTCGAAAACACGGAATTATGCTCCCGCGAAGTTGGCGGTCTCGGCGACGTATACGCATCGGCGATTTTGCCGACTTTGAGCCCTGTTTTTGGCCAATTCCATTGTTCCAGTTGACCAAACTCATAGCTATTTCTTTAGAACTTCATTTTTTCTATCAATTGAGTATAAGAAACTGCCTATTTACCGATTTGAACTACCGAATAAAGTGGTCAGAAATTGCCAATTTGGCCAATTTCACGCAAAATAAAAAAGATGCCAATTTCAAAATAGGGTCCAAAATAAACAATGTAGACATACTTGGCACTAAAATAACATATCTTCTGTTCATTAGTCACATCTCTAGGCCCCTCTTATATTACTATTGCTTTCTATTTTGATTTTTTATTCATACAAAAAAATACAAAATTTACTGTTATGCAGACTACTGTATTATTGTAAAAATGGTATAAATAATATCAGTGCGCTAGTGAAAGAATATTAGAATCCCCAGTTGACGTGTATTGGACGTGTGGTATGATTTGCTTACTCTTGAACATCAGTAGAAATTGAACATTTCCGCTACTTTGAGCTCAATTTCAAGGTCGTTTTCATTGTGAAACTAATGAAAATCATTGCTATTTCTGCAGTATGTTTTCCATTTTATCACAGAGCATGAAAATGAGAATACACCGATAAATACTATACAAAAATACACTTCAAAGTCAGCGTTTTAATAAAAAAAAAATGGTCAGTTTTTTTTTTCTCATTATGCACTGCATGCTGCAGGATTTCTTTTTTATGTGGTGCACACTGACCACACAAACCCATTCTCTCACATGTGGGCCTACCAGCTTTCTCCTGCTTGATTTGAAGCCGCTAGAATTCTTTCTTTCTTTCAACACACCCGCATCCCACTGAGGTAGGGTGGCGAAAAGGAAAAATGAAAGTTTCGCCTTTTAAATTTAGTAATATATACAAGAGAAGGGGTTACTAGCCCCTTACTCCCGGTATTTAAGTTGCCTCTTACGACACGCATGGCTTACGGAGGAAGAATTCTGTTCCACTTCCCCATGGAGATAAGAGGAAATAAACAAGAACTTGAAAGAAAATAGAAGAAAACCCAGAAGGGTGTGTATATATATGCTTGTACATGTGTGTGTAGTGTGACCTAAGTGTAAGTAGAAGCATCAAGGCGTACCTAAAATCTTGCATGTTTACGAGCCAGACAGAAGACACCAGCAATCCTACCATCATGTGAAACAATTACAGGCTTTCTTTTTACACTCGCTTGGCAGGACGGTAGTACCCGCCTGGGTGGCTGCTGTCTACCAACCTACGACCTAGAATTATTGAGTATACCTATGTCCGGAACACTGGCTCGTAAGACGTATGTATACGACCAAAACAGTCAAAGGGTTAATTAGATTATTTGCTGTGTTAACTTTAAAATTAGAAGATATGAAGCTTATAACATCAGAAAAAAGTGTTGATATGAATTATTGAATAACATTAAAAAGATGATTTGTCTTTCTCATATATTATGACCGAATTCAAAACTATCATTAAGATTTAATTTAGAATGTCCTCAGAGATATATATTTAAGTTATATTGTTGAGTCTGAAAATATGCAGTGGACCCCTGGTTTTCGGCCGATGCGAAAATCGTACAATTCGAATTTCAAGCACTTTCTTGGACGAAATTTTCCCCCGGGTTTCTTGCATCCATTTGGAAATCGTTGGTACGAGACGCGTGTGCCTGGGCCACTCATACGTTCGTGACTCACTCTTGGGCGCATTAAAAGTCTTATTTTAAGTTAATATAGACATTTTCATTAATCCATCTATGATATTTTCTTCAAAATTATGTAAGAAACACGTTACATAGCATATAAACATGCAATGTTTATATGCGGTGGAAGGTAAACATTACATTTTCTCTGGCCCAGCATTAGAGAAAACTGTATGAATCTGTGTTGGCCCAGTAACCGTCCTTAATACATAAGCTTTTGTGTACAATTCTCGGCATGAGTTATTTATTACTTCTCCTTTTGTTTATGATGGCATCTAAAGGTAGTTGTTAGAAATGATTAAACTCAGTGAACATGATACTATGTCGATGGTAATAATATGGCTGTAAGCCGCAGTGTATGTATCTGGTAGGTATTTATTTATTTTTTATTTATTTATTTATTTACAATTTGAGCACACATACAGAGGTACAAAAAAATACAGATAAGAGCAGCATGCCAAAGCCACTTATACTATGCATAGCATTACGGGCTGGCTTAAAATTAACTAAAGATTAACTAAGCAATGATGAAATCAGTGATAAAACATTAATGTAAACAGATTACTATAAAGCACAAGTGTTTTACATTGTTGTACATTCAGTCGTATGGAGTATTCTGTTAGGTAGTGTATTTAAAAAATAATGAAGTTAGATTGGGTTTTAGGTTTAACATTTATGTGATATAATTGTGAGAAACATTTAAGATATACAATTTATAAGGTTCAGTTATTCAGTATTTATTTGGTTTTGGGGTGAGTAAGTGATCTTTGAGAAGAGACTTGAATTTATAAACAGGTAGTGTTTCTTTTATATTTACAGGTAATGAATTCCAGATTTTAGGGCCTTTTATGTGCATTGAGTTTTTGCATAGTGTGAGATGGACACGAGGAACATCAAAGAGTGATCTATGCCTTGTGTTATGGTCATGTGTTCTGTTGAGGTTGGCAAGGAGATGTTTGAGGGGAGGGTTAATATCAGAGTTAAGTGTTCTATGTATGTAATAGGTGCAGTAATAAGTATGGATGTTTTGTATGGTGAGTAGGTTTAGTGTATTGAATATTGGTGGAGTGTGCTGCCTGTAGTGAGAATTTGTTATTCTAACTGCAGCCTTTTGTTGGGTAATTAGTGGGATGTAGTCTGCCTGGGACTAAAAATAAATACTACAGGTACTCACCAACAAGAGTCTTCCATAAAGGTATGTAATGTTCATTTA